TTAGGTGATGAGAGCTGTCAAAAGGGCATAGGTGACTCATGAGGAGGCACGTGCCCCCCCTGAAATCGGACACTGCTGCCTTCTGCGGGAGGTCGCTGCTCGCCACCCCACCCCCCCGCCACCGATGTCACCACCAGCATCTGTGGGCGGTCCCTGCTCGTCACTCCGCACCCCCTTGCTGCCGGCATTACTGCTTGTATCTGCGAGTGGTGCCCGCTCACTGCTCACCCCCTTGACCCGTTGCCAGCATCTGTGGGCAGTCCCTGCTTGCCACTTGCTGCCAACGCCGCCACCTACAAATGGTGCCTTCTAGTCTTGGGAGGCGTCAGTCATTCATGCACAAGGGAGATGAGAGAAGGGATGGGGTCAGCAGAGCAAGTAGGTTGAGGATGAGATAAGTTCAGGTATTGACAGGATGGATGTCAAAATGGGAGAGAGATTCAAAAGAGTTGAGCATGAAGAACAATGAAGCATGGTGAGAACTGAGGCCAAGGGAATTCAGCATCAGAGAGGGAGAGATTTGTCTCACGGAGTCTGCCTTTCTTTCTCCCTATTCCCTTTCTCCCTATTCCCCCAGCCATCTTGTAAAGTTCTTGACTACAGCGTTATCCCTTTTTGCCTTCCATTATTCCCTGTCTCTTCATAGAGTCCCTAGGTATCCAAAAACTTGCCCTGTAAGTGCTTAAGCCGCGTCTAAAACTGGTGCAGTTTGTGCCAGTAACAGAGAGAAATAAACTGAGATGGGATGCCTAATGATCCATGCACCAAACAAAGCATTTTAGAGCTGTATTTAACCCAGTGTTCATGAATCTTCCACATTCATTCAGTAAATGGACATTTGCGTGATATTACTGTGGCAGCTCAGTGATGCAGTTTCTTGCTAGGCAACGAGCATGGATAAAGGATACCTCATTATAAATGTCTACTGAACTTTAATTTGAAAAGTAATTAGCAGGATTGGAGAAAAATGTTGACTGCAATCCTCTCCACTGGAGTTTGTGAGCAGGTCATGATATCTGCCATTGACTGCAGTCTACAACTGTAATGCAAATAATAGACAAAGCTAGACATGGCTCTTACCTCGTTCTTCAAGAGGTCAAATACACTGAGGAGGAGCTAACCTGGAATGCCCTGTTAAACAAACTTGAAAATCTATAGTGTTTTTCAGAATCTGAGACTATTTTTGCTAATAGGAATCTTGTTATCAAATGTAGAAAGTGGCCTAACAAAAAAAAAAAGCCATACAATGTTGACTTGTTCACATTCAAATTTGTTATCCAAATGTTCTAGATATATGAAATCAGAGGTTTGCACTTTCAGAACTGCATAATGTATTGTCAATAAGTGTCAATACTGCATAATGTATTGTCAATACTGCATAATATAATCAAATACTGCATAATGTATTGTCAAGCTATCAGTTTTTTATACACATATCTCCAGAGAACTGAGAAAGATACATAACATAACAATACTGCAGAGAAGCATGCTATTGAAACAGTTTAAGTTAAGACAAGACTCATGAGATTAAGGAAAGTAATTTTCTTTTCCATAAAGGTGTCATTTTTTATTTTTCTTTACTTTTCTGTTCTCATTATCTATATGTAGAACTGCAAAATGAAGAATGCAATTGGTAAGCCCATAGACCTGGCCTAATCAGGAGTTACTGGCACACATTGATAAATTAAGCTCATGTTATTGTGGTCAGAGTTAAGGTTGTTATGTGTGTTTTGGTATCTTACATCCGTTTGCCTATGAGTGAATTAACTGAAGTATTATGGTGAGATTTCTTTCCCATGCATGGCTTCAGCACAGCCACTTTTATGTTGCTGAAGAAATATTCAGCAGTGGAAAAAGTCCCTTAGCACTTTTAGAAAAAATTCCCATAGTGGAAGAATGTCGTAAAGCTGCCGTAACAGCCCTATGTCAGGGTCTTTGCAAGACAACGCAGGGAGTAGGAGAGACCCGTCTAGGTGAGAAATGATAGGACCCCTGCACATAACACTCATGGGATTCTGGGCAGTGCCACTCGTAGGCCACAAGATACTGTAATTTCAGTGTAAATTATTCCTGGGGCCACACTCATTACCAGAACACCGCCAAACCTAGAGGTTGCCTCAGGACCCCTATACAGTGCCTTTTACTGGGTTTGCCAAGGAAGAGGTGAAGCAAAACGGGACCCTATTTATGGAAAAAAGAGATTATTTTTAAAGTTTGTGAAAGAATTCTGGATGCCCTTTTGTTTTATGGTGCTTTTGTGTTTGAATGTCTGAAATCTAATCTCCTTGTTAATGCACTTTTGTCTTGGAATTTAATTAAATGGAGATTTACAGTCTCCTATGCAGGTAGGTGCTGACAAGTACCAGTTTAATTTGTTTAATGTATTTTAGCTGATCTCAGTTATTTTGTGCCCAGGTTATAAATTTCCTTCTCTTTCTTTTTGTCTAAAAAGGTTGAGTGCATGCAAATGGAGTATTTAAAGAAGTTGTACCTACTGTTTTTTGACTAAACAATTTAAAAAATGTTATATGCTGGCATGTTTCTTCTTGGATCTGTATTTAACTTGTATTTACATACATGCTTTTTGCATACACTCCAAACATTCCTTTGATGGATTTTTATAACTTTCAAATGATCTTTAGAATTTCTTACATGTTTTATAACTTGTTTTTTTCCCCTTGTCTTTACAGAAGTGCATTCGATTTAATCCTGAATCTTCAGTGTGGGTAGCAAAACAGCGAATTTTGTGTACTTTGAATCAGAGTTTGAAAGATGTCTTGAATTATGGGCTGTTCCAGCCTGCAAGCAATGGAAGAGATGGGAAGTTTTTGGATGAGGAACGACTTCTTAGGGAATATCCACAACCAGTGAATAAAGGTGTTCCCTCCTTAGAGGTATTTTAATAGAATTGTATTATTTTTTATAGAAGTTGATATTTGAAACATTTATACTTGTTGTATGATATATCCAGTAGACTTATCTGAAGAATCTGAAATGGATTTGAATTGCAATCAGGAAGCAGTGATCTCAAAGCTAGATTACACAAGTAAGAGCTTCAGCAAGGCTATTGCATGCATTTCTGACATAAGAGCTGCAGGATCAGGTTTGATGACTTTCTGTGTATCAGCTCTTAAGGAGTGATGGTAGTAGTTGGACCCTTGGTTACGCTGCCAAGAAAATAAGCCTCAGTCATCCTGTTCCTGGTCCAGTCATGTCAACCCTGGAGCTGATGTGGTGAATATGCAGTGGTAGCATGCCTGGCACCACATTTGGGACCTGGCTTTCCGGTGTGCTCAAGAGTGGTGGCTTGCAGTGCCCCATGCATTCTCACCACTTCTTTTTCAGGGTTGATGCACATGGAGTGGGAATGAGTAAGCGTGGCTAAAGGGAGGGTTATTTCCTTGAGGATGTAACTATAGGGCTGTGCGAAACGACTGTGTTTTGATTTGTTTTAGGATTCAGCCATTTCGGAGAATAGTGATTCGTTTCAGTGTTTCAGATCACTGTCCTGTTTCGTTTCAGCCGAATCTGTTTCGAATGGGCTACAAGGGTAGCTTCATATATCCCTACCTAGCCGGACAGAGCTTGGGGCTGGGGGCTGCAGGACCCCAGAGGAGAGCAGGATGGGGCTGTGGGTGGCTCATCTGGGGGAGGGGGAGACCCTGGTGTGGATCTCTGCTCCCTGCAGAGTCAGGTTGAGTGGCAGGGATTCCCCAGCTCCCAGTTTGATTCCCCAGCCCTCTGATCATTCAGCCCTTCTGATCATTCAGCTGTTCCCAGTGGGTGCAGACCCCCAATCTGTGCACGGGGTTTCAGGAGGCTGTAGGATGGGGCCAGTGACAGTATTGCAGTCTTCCTGGCGCTCATCAGCAGCCTGCTGAAACCCCACATGCAGTCTGGGGGCCTGCGCCCCCTGGGAAGAGCTGGGGAGATGATCAGAGAGCTGGAGAATCGAACTGGGAGCTAGATGTCAATATTAGAGCAGTCCTTCCTTCCCTCTTAGTTTTTGTTTCTCTGGAAGCCCAGCTCCAAAACTCTGAAATTCTCCGAAACATTTCTGAAACATTTCAGAGCCTTCTGATTCAGTTCGGAGCTGTTTTGGAGTCTTCTGTTTCGATTTGGATTCGGTGTTTCAGGTGCCAAAACGGCCCGAAGCACCTCCGAAATGAAACCACTGCCAAAATTTCTCACAGCTTTAGTAACTGAACACCCTGCCCATCACAGTGCAAGAATACCTTTAGTGGTGGTGAAAGAAGCCTCTGACCCAGTCCCAGGATATTCTTCAGAAGGCTTCCTTTGGAACAGGATTCATGGTCCGTGAGGTAGAGAGAGATGGTTCAGTATAGCAGTTTCTGATGTGTTAGAGAAGTTCAAGGTGGTAACTCTATTTCACAGCTCAGACTGGAGTTTCAGTTATCAGGTGAGCTGGAAATCTTCTGTGTTTCAGTAAGGGTTGGCTGCTGGAAAATACAGTTTTCTGGCAGCCAAGAGGAGGCATGAACTAAGCTAAATTATGTTAGGAAAATGACATAGTCTTCTTGAAGGATGAGAGAACTGAAGGGGCTGATATTTTATCCCCAATGAAAGTAACTCCTTATGTGTTTAACTGCCGGTTTTGATACATGGGCTTTTTCAGTTGAGGAAAAGACTCTTGTAGCAGAACTTATAGAAAGTCCAAGCCAAATCTAGCTGATGAAGGAGTTCTTGCTTCTCCCACCTGTGTTTTAATCATCATTTAATTTCCAAAATGGTAAAAGGAAACACAGAACATCAAAGGGCTTATGAGCTGTTGAGTCAAGTCCTCTGCATTAGCAGGCAACCATTTATCAAAAAGATCAAAAATATCCACTTTAATCTCTCTTCTGTATCACAGCTACAAGTGTCCTAGTAAAAAAAAAATCCCCCAAAACCCTGTTCAGTGTGCCTCAGGAACAGAGCAGGATAGAGAAGGGTGCTACCAAAGGAAAGGAATTTGTTAGAACTGCATGTTCAGATTGTCCTAGAAAGTGGACCATGGCCAGCCTCTGCTAGCACGGGCACCAATGTCATACAGTAGTTTTCATGGGCTTCTCATCTTAAAATCCATTATATTTCTTGTTCCAGCTTCTCCTACTGGATGTCTATTCTAGGACCTCTTTTCTTTGATGGCTAAATACCTTTTAATTTCCAATCTTTATTCATGCCAGATTCTTCTTGTCAGCTCTTGTGCTGATTTTTTAAAACATTTTCCTATTATTTGAGACATCCCTGAACCAGTGAGGTTAAGAAAAATAGCAATAGTCTTAAAACAGCTTGCAGGAAAGTCCAAACCCAAATATTTTCCCCTGCAAAAGTGTTTGGTCTCCAGACCGTATTGTAGGGTAGCCCAAGGTATTCTTATAGCAAATTCCAAATTTAAATAGGATACAATTAGAAATTTGAGAAGGAGCAACTTGGGCGGGGGGGAGGCGGGGGGAGGATATTTGCTGGGAATTTATCTAAGGCCATGTCTATTATAGTAAATTTACTGTGCTTGACAGCAGCGCTCACTGCTCCATGCTGACTGCCTCCTGAACTGAAAGTGGTGTCTGCATGGCTCTGTGGGCAAGCTGATTAGCACAGGGGTACGCTAAATGGCACTGTCACTTGGCAATGCTACTAGTAATTAACCTGCCTGAAGTGCTGTGTGAACACAGCTACATTGTTTCCAATTTAGAAGGCAAGCCTAATGGAGCAGTGAGGCATGCTTGATGGCACCTGTGCCCAAGACCTGAGAGAAGTTTAGAGAAGTTAGGAAAACAGATTACTTCAACATGTTTATTATTGAGACTATTAAGTAATTTACATGTGCCACTCTGATTTGGTAAGGAATCTTTCCTCCTGCTTCCAACCAATACAGAATCTTAGGTCATGTCCAAATGAGCATGGCCGTGTGGTATGTGGCACCGCTGACATGGCTGCAGTGCCACACACTGCACATTCAGTTTTTCTCTGTGCTGCAAGGTAGCAGTACAGGTGGTGGGGGGGGGGAAGTGACCCCTGGAGATCCCAGAGTCAGAAAAACCCACCCCAAAAAAAGCGGGGTGGCACTCTTGGGGGCAGCACGCACTGCCCAAAGCCAGAACCTAGCCACCAGGAGCCACTCTTTGGCTTCTGGCCAGGTTCTGAGCGGCAGGATTGCCACTTTTGCAGCCCCAGATTGCCCCCAGGAACCCAGGTAAGGCTGCTAGGACCAGCACAGTGCTGGCCCCAGTCTTCCCTACCCCACCTGGAGTAACCTGCTACATGTCAGAGGGCACAAAGCACAGGCATTCCCTGGGGACAAGCAGCAGTGGCACAGGGTGTGCTGCTGCTGCTTGTCCCTGGGGAAGCAAACATCTGTGCTTGTGTGGATGTGGTATTAGAGTGCAAAGGGAGTCCCAGGGTCATCTGATCTAACTCCCTGCATAGATTCAGGATTTGCTGCTCTTAAAGCAGCCCAGCTTTAGACACCTATCCAGCATTGAAAACCTCCCATTAAGGGGATGCCATGATTTTTTCAGGCAAGATTATTTTGAAAAGATGTCAGAATCTATTTTCTTTTCACTCCAGATGGGATGTGACCCCATGATTCCTGGTTTACAAGGCCAGTACATTATCCATTAGGTGTCTGGGTCAGATATGTTGATCACATTTTCCTAAAAATATCATTAATTTACTGAAAAAAATCCCATAGAATTTGCAGGTCTGAAGTCACTAGATTTAAAGCTGTGTAAAAGCATTGGAAACAAGAGAAGACCCTGGTTAAGAAAGAGACAGTTTAGAGTCCTCTTTATTCTACCAGCGTAATTCTGAGTCAGTCACTCATCTGTACTTTAGCCACAAGCAAAATAAATAACTACAATGTTCAAGTCTACTCTTTTTTTCAAAATACACGTGCTATAGAATTCTGTGTTACTGGTGCCTTCTGCTTGTCATAAGGCATCTGTTTGTCCACTCAGTGCAATAAACTAGTAAAGTTGCCACGAAAGGAATGAGAGTGTTCTACTGAAATGCTGGTCTTCAGGTTTCTCTATCCAGCAAACACATTGAACCCTGTCAGTTCCACCTAGTAAACAGAGATCTATTTTTGTCTCTGTTCACAACATATAATTAATTACCTGTTCAGAGAAAACTGTGGCTTGTTCGGAGCATGAACAGTAGCTCCTGGAGGATCTTAATGGGAAAGAAATACCATGAAAAAGAAAGGTGAAAAGAGTCATTTATAGATATTACGGTTTTCTAGGTTTAATCTGGACTACAGCCATCACTATAACCGATTATACATGTGGATGCTTGTAGACCAAATTAAAATTGGCTCCAGTCCAAATTAAGTAATCCTCACTGAATGACTATTAATGTTAATACAGACTAGGGCAGTCCAAATTAGGCAATTTAAAGTGTATTAATTAACATTAGCCTTACTTTTAGGAAAAACAGTCCTTAGGAACTCAGATAAGGGTTCCTTAGGAATGCAGATAAGCATTGCAAATATCAATCCCTTCCAAGGAAATTTAGTTGGATTTTGCAACACCACAGAGGTTATCAGACACAAAGTAACACCTTTACGAAGTCAAATGTGCCAACAACACCTTAGTATCAGTATCCTGACTAAGCCCCAACCTCTGCCCAAGCACATAGGCTACTGGTCCCTGAAGAAGAGGGCAACCCCCCTTGATTGACTATTAACCCTTTATTCAAATTCAAACTTGATTGTGACAAAGAGTCCACATTTTTAAAGTACCTCAGACATAATTTAGAGATGTTCTGGGCCCAGAAGTGAGGGGCTGTCTTGCTGGGGCACACAGGAAGCTTCATCCTCTCTCCTCTTGCATAGTTGTGCAAAAAGCTTATGAGCATTTTAACGCATGCTCCAGGAGGCAGTGTGTGTGTGGGGGGGGTGCTTTAATTAGCGAGCCACGCTAAGTAAAAGTACTTGAGCGTGACATGTATTGGCATCCCTCATGCTTGGGGGTGCTTTGAACTAAAACGCATCGAACGAGCTTTAGTTCAAAGCACCTAGCCACCATTTTTCGGCACAGGGGCACTGATACACATGATGCCAGAGTCTTTTGGAGTGCATTTATTTCCATGCTTCAGCGCACTGAATTTCTAGCATGTCAGAGCTGGTTCCCTGCACGTGTATAGGAGCCCTCAGTTAGTAGGTTTGGCACACTGCTTGTGGGAAAGGAGATAGGATCATAGCTCTGTCACCTATGCTCTAGTATTCAGAGATGGATTGGCACACTAGACACTAATGACCTGCTTTATCCATCAGGTTAAAGCAGATTATGCATCTTCATAGACAAAGAGCACAATCTCCCCAATGGTCCTTTTGGGCCAGGGCGAGTCCTATATATTGAGGTGTCATAAATGGCAAAATCTGATCCTCGGAGAAGAGAGGAGGGAAAAAAAGTCTGTGTCTAAAAATATGTTTGACATCAAAACCAATTAATCACAGAGGAGAGATATTTAGCATTCTAATTAGATGTAAATTGTGGTGTTTTAGATCAGTGGTAAATATGTATCGCTGTGTAATGACCTGTGATTTCTCAGCTGATCTATCTGCCCTGCTGGTAGACAAATGGATCAGAAAACAGTAATAACTGCCAAAGCTCAAAAAAGTGGATCTTGTAAGCCATATATACATTCCTTATTTACAAAAGCAGTTGCATTAGCATTAGCAGAACTATTCCTAAACATAAAGTTTGACAGCATGATGAAGTACTTTCAGTAACCTATTTTTGAAGTTCAGAAAATTACGTGCTTTTACAATCTTACCTACTTGTAGATTTTTTTTTTCTTTTCAAGGCTTGAAGTGAAAGTGTTGAGATTACCTTTAGGGAAAGGTTTTTTTAATAGTATTTCTAGCCTGTGTAAACACAAGGGACCAAACTGTTTCCTCATGTAACTTCACTGATTCCAGTATTTTTACACAGAGTATGAACTTGGCTTGTATGCTGTAAAATTCTAATTACACTAAGTTACTACTACTACTACTGCTACTGCTACTTACTACTACAACTACTGCTACTCATGCATGATAACATTTGGTGCTTATTGTTTATTTAAACAGAACTCATAAGCCCTTTTTTGAAGCTAGTCCAGATTTTCATGCTGGTTAATAAACACTACCTTCTTATAATTTCTGATCTTTTTTTACCTTTTCTCAAATAAAATATGAAATACTGACTTTGTTTCTTTCTTCCCTATTAGTTCCGATATAAGAAGAGAGTATATAAGCAATTCAATCTGGATGAAAAACAGGTGGCAAAGCTTCATACAAAGGTCAGTCCAGCTAACTTGGAAAGGGAGAAAGCATCTGTTTTTTTCCCCCCCTGTGTCTGGCAGGAAAAGTTGTAACTTAGATTCAGTCACCCTCTACTTAGAATCCTTTGATACTAATGACAATCCAAAAAATATATGTAGAGTGCCGCCTGGGTAATTTTAGGCCCTGAACCTGGTGACCTATTTATGTGGATAATGCTGCCAAAGTCAAAGGACCTGTTCATATAAGGGTTGCATAGTTAGGCTTTTATATTGAGTGCATGAGAGGTTCTTGAACACCTTTACAAGTGTGAAACACAACCAAATAGAAGGGATATATCTATCCAGTGCAAGACATTGTTGTAGTAAGATGCATCTTGCTGTTGTAGTGTGCATTAGCTCCCTGACTAGAAGCAGTAGAGGTGTGTTAGTGTGGGAATCTATTCAGACTAATCAGCTTTATTGCTTATTGACCCACAAACAGTACTGCACTAATGTGGCTGCTCTGCTTTTGGCTCAAAAGCTAAAGTATCTGCACTGTGCTGCCTTCTGCCATATAGAGAGAGCAAACTTGTTTTTTGGAGTCTCCCCTGCCTGATTAGGTGAACAGTGGGCGCATCTACACATGCCCCTAAGGCGCCCTTGTTACCACGCCATCATTTAGTACTTCCCTTTGGAAGTACTAAATGATGGTGCAATAACAGCCTGTACTGCATTGTCCGTGTGGTGAATGGCTATTTTTACCAGCTACGTCACTGTAGCAGCGTGCTTGTACCAAGGGAACGCGTTGCTACAGCAGTGTTGCTGCGGTGTCACGGTTTTTGCCCACGGACACTACATCGCTGTAGCGTGTTGCTATAGTGACGTAGCATTACACGTAGACACTCCCAGTGTGCCTCACAGTCACAGTGACTTAGTATCTCTGCAACAGATCACAAATACTTAAATAGCCAGTAATAGAGGAAAATATGTAATATAGTTTAGCAGCTGGAAAGAAGGGGAAGTCCTGCTTCATATGAGTAGCCAGCTCTGCAGACCATGAGTAAGTGCTCTGGGGGCTGCCAGTGATTTAGGGAATGTAATCCAAGACTTTTAGTTGTGTTATAGATGGCTTGTGCTTATACAGTGCATTTATAAGTAATTTATATCTAAAGTTGACACAACTATTATAAAAATATGGCACACTTACAGCATGCCACTTGTATTTTAAAATAGGAACACAAATCTTTTGATGCACTTACATGTTGGAATAACTTTGCCCTCTGTCACTCTTTCATTATCATATCTTTTTGAATTTGACTTCCAGTACATTTTTTTCTGATTGTGCAAGTAATATATTCTTGTTTTATGTTTTTGACCATAGCATTCTGCCAGCTATATGCTTTTCATTACAGTTTTAGGGCCAGATCTATATCAGTGTAAAGTGTCACTGTTCCATTGAGGTTGATGGAGTTGCAATGTTTTTTACTAGCTGAAGATATCACTCATAACTTATATTCTTCACGCTGTCAGAAGATTGTTCAGTCATCTCTTCTTGTTTCAGGCTAATTTAAGAAAATTCATGGATCATGTCCACCACCTCTCTGTGGAAAAAGTCACAAAGATGTTAGACCGAGGACTGGATCCGAACTATCATGACCTGGAGAGTGGAGGTATGAGATTAATAAAAGTTACCACATAAAGTGGCTTGCATCCTGGGTAGGCTTCACACAAGATATATGTAGCAAGCCAAACCCTGTCTTGAAGACCTTAAAAGTCTCAGATTCAGCAGAACTGTGATTCTGATATAGGAAGGGAGCAGCCTGTTAATGTTATAGCCTCCTTAAGGCTGTACTTGGTACCTAAAAGCTGATAATTATGTTTTTTGAAAAGTTTGCAAATATTATTTTTTAAAGGTTACTTATCAATTTTTTTCACACATTTTATTCTTTCCTTTAGACACACCACTAACTTTGGCAGCACAGCTTGAAAATACAATAGAAGTGATCAAAACTCTGAAAAACGGAGGGGCACATTTGGATTTCAGAGCCAAAGATGGAATGACAGCTCTGCACAAAGCAGCTAGAGCCAAGAACCAAGTAACCCTCAAGGTAAATTTTCAGAAGCAAATTATACATTATTGTATACTAAACAATATGGAAAGAAAAATATTTGGAGTTAATTATTGTACTGTCCTTTGTGGATCTTTTAATGTGTGCTTGCTTGGCTTTTATCTTTCATGATTTCTTCCACCAAGGGTTTTTAATTTCAGAAGCTTACATTTTTGCTAGGAAAACATGGTGGTGAAACTTAACTTTATTCGTCAATAGGTGGTGGAAGATATCTCTGCAGGAAATGGAAGTAGCAATATTGCAGTTTCTCCCCCTTTGAAACTGAATGCCAGTAGTGCAGATTGTACATTTTATCTTGTCAGTGCTGACCTTTCTGCTTTTTTCTTTATGTTCTGACTTTTTTTTATGAGACTTCTTGACATTAGATTAAATAAAGGGCTTATGATACTCCCTATTTCCTTCTGGACAGAATTTCAAATTGAACAATATTTTAATAAGGCACACTGCAACCAAAGAGGCATGCATGCTCCAAAAGTGATATAAGCATTATTAAAACATTGGAAATCAATAACAGGATGGGTAGTGTGTAGTCTTTGTTTCTCATTTTATCACTGGTACTCCAACATATGCCCTGAGTACTGAAACCGGGACTTTTGCTTCTACTAGGGTCCTTTCCAAGGTGCACTGGTGTGTCTCACTGTAGGCCAGTGCCACTAAACCATAACTCTCTTACCACTGTTTGCTCCAGCAGTGAGGAGTTCAGTTGCCTGTGTTATGGCCCATTTAGCCAGCTTATAAATGTCTTTACCCTGCCTCAAGTAAACCGTAACAAGAACACCCTTCCCAGTAAACACTGTGTTGGGAAGAATGCTAAATATAGATTCTCTCTCAATTAGTTACATGCTCAGAAATATAAGGACAGTGCTTACCATCTGTAATTGCTTATAGACCCTTTTAGAGCTTGGAGCATCTCCTAACTACAAAGACAGCTGTGGATTAACCCCACTCTACCACACCGCTGTAGTAGGAGGGGATCCATATTGTTGTGAACTGTTACTTCATGAACATGCTACAGTCAGCTGCAAAGATGAAAATGGATGGCAAGAGATTCATCAGGTATGAAAACCTTTTCTTCGTTAGCTTTTATGTTTACTGCTATTGGAAAATTATGTCAGGAAACTCTTTAATAGACCTTTTCAGGATTTTACACACTGTGTTTATAGATGGGAAGATATTTAGTTTCTATGTATATATAAATTAAAAACATACATAATATGTGTATACATGTGCACTTGTATTTTTTCCCTTTTCTTTTTGTTTAGTTTAGTACTATAGTTCTTGCTGTTAGCAAACTGAAAATCCAGGCCATTTTGATGAAGTTTTTCAACAGTCAAACATAGTCTATAGTTACTATGGACTTAGCTGCACAAGTGACAGCTCCAGCTGGCTGCTATTGCACATTCCTTTTGCAGGCTCTTGGATATTTGAGTTTTAGTATTCTGCTGGTAATACTTCACTACAAAAGTGAAGCTGGTTCGTTTTATGTGACACTTTCAATTCTGCTGGCTGCTTCTTATTTTTTGCACCAGAAATATTTTACCTTGGTCACTGGGTGATATGATAATGAACAGTTGTTTGTAAGTTCTGGCATGCCTCTGGGGTCCTTTAGTATGTTGTACTTTAAGGTTGTTTTTCCCTTGTGAGTTCAGAATTTGGGTTTTTCTTCATCTCTTCTAGATATAGAGACCAAACTTTCAAGTGTTATTTCCCTTTGCACCCTTGTTGTTCCACGCAAGGAGTTTTCACTGTTTAGTAGGTGGATACATCTGCTGACATCTGGTCTATGCAGGAAAGTGATTTACGGAAAAAACTTGCTTTCTCTCATGTACCGTTGGATCCTAGTGATGTCTTCAGCCAACTGGTGGTATAGAATTGATTTTCTCTAAATAGCCTAAACTTCCTTTGAGACTTTCACATAGGGGGGGTCAGCAGCAGGTTTACTTAAAATCCATGAAATGTGACCCCTGTATTAAGAACAGAATGATAGCCTAGCTCACAGAAGGATATCATAAAACCACTAACATTGGGTATTGCTGGTGTTCTTAGCTTAGCCTTTTGGCAAAAGACTGGAGTGACTACAAAGTATCAATTCATATGTCGTCAGATTTCAGGCCATTGAGAAGCTTTAAAGTTGTAATGAATGGGATGAATGAAGCTGTTTAAAATGTAATTGCTATGAGGATAGTAAAGGTAACAAGTGGCAGGCATGAGGGACAGTTCATGAGAGCAAAGGCTGTGTACTGTATAATCATAGTGTTATTTATTCTGATAAAAACACAATATATATGAGAGGACTTGTTATATATATCAGCTTGTTGTTGCTGATGAATTCTCAAAAGGTGCTTAGGAGTTAGGTGCCTTTGATGATATGGACTTTAGTACTTTAACTTAAGTGCCTGGGACTTTTGCTTTGAAGCTAGTCTCTGCATATAACTTGAACAGAGGCTTCAACACACATGCACACTTTAGTGGCTTTGGTTTAGGGCTTGGCTTTGATTTTGGCTTAGTGGCTTATGATTGATTTGATTTTCTTTTATGCCATTGATATAAGCATAAAGAAGAAAAAGTCTTGGAATATTCATTGTTAATACTCATTCTCTGAAGGGATCACAGAAGTAGTAAAGGATGAAATTAGGATGAAAAATGTGAATAAGAACAGGTCCACACCACTTCAGTATTTCAGCAGTGTATGTTGCATGCTATGCCTGCTCCATGCATGCTACTTCCCAAAATGGAAGTAATAGAGTCACCTTAATGACTCCTGATCTCACTTTTACCCTATTGACAGCAACATCACCTTTGTGATAACCAGGGATCTTGGTTTTCTCTGATTTAAGAAATCTCCAATTTTTGGTTTAAAAATAGTAACCCCAAATCTACATTTTTCTGTGATTAAAATGAAACATCACTGTATATATCTCTATATATTAGTGGTGTTTCATTTAAATCACAGAGAAATGTGGATTTGGACTTACTTTTTTTACCAGAAATTGGGGATTTTGTTAAACCTGAGAGAACCAGGATCTCTGGTGATAATGTAGGTACTGAAGCGCTGTAGACATACCCTGTGCGTTTCAGAGGACCTGGTGTTGTATTATATATGGAGTATACTGAACAAAAGATGAGATGAACATAAGGATCACCCAGGTCATTAAGTCCAGTATTTTTCAGTGACAGGCAACCATGTCATAGTTGTTGAGTCTAAAAGGATCTGCAAGTGAGTAGAAGAGATAAGATCACTAGCAATGGTTTGATCCCTGCAGTGCCATGGAATCTGTTAGATAAAATACGCCTGGGTAATGCTAACAAGTAGACTGCCTCTTATTGAAGAGGAAGGCAGAAAATCCCACAAAACTCACAATGGTCCCTGGCAGTCTGTCCAACTACCTGGCCATCTGAGAAGTTCTTGGTACAAATGGAAGTACTAATATACCTGCCCAATATGCTGCTCTAGCTGTACCCACAGTCTAAGCTACAGGGGGAGAGGGGGAAGAACCCTGCTCCAAACCTCAACTTTCAAGTTATGCATTTAAAGGAGAAAAAATTCTACCTGACAGGAACCATTAGAAGCCCTAAAGCATGATTTTAATTGATTAAATACAGTATAATTTAATACAAAAATTATATGCTGAGAGACAGAGGCAGTTAGCCAGTCTGCAGTGCTGTATAAATATGCATGTGCTACTTCTGGTTAGAGCAGGGGTGGGCAGTTATTTCAGCTGGAGGGATGCTTAATGAATTTTGGTGACCTGTCGAGGAGCACAAGGGCAGCCCTACCCCTTGACAGGTGCCCTGCCCCCTGGTAGCCATCTTAGGACCAGAAGACCCACTCCTAACCCTTGGCCCTTGCGTCCAGAAGTAGTCCTTTTTGGCGGGGAGAGGGGGTTACCAGCTTGGAACCAGAAAAACAAACAAATTATATACTAAAAGTCAAATATAACATATTTTATACTATACTATACTATTTTAATATACTATAGTGTAATTAAAACATATTTTAATTTTATTTCAAAAGATATTTTTGTCCTGATTTATGTGTGGTTGTCTGGTGCATATAGAGGTGATTGCATAATAGATAAAAAATAGTCTTACTCTTGTATATTATGCGTGGTGGGGTGCATGTGGGGTGTGTATGGGGGAGTGTGTGGGTTGCAATGGGCAGGTGAGTGTGTCTATATGGTGGGGTTTAGGGGGTATGTGTGGATGGGTGGGGGTGTGGCTATGTGTGGGGTATGTTGGGGGTGTGTATATGTGGGGAGCTTGGGGGTGTGGGTAGGGCATAGGTGTGTGGGGTTTGTGGGGTGTGAGGTAAGGTGGGGGGTGTGGGGACCCCATATGCCCCCCCCAGTGCATAGCTCTTGCCGCCAGCGGCAGCAGCAGCAGGTGTTGGCCTTGGGGTGCTCATGGCCCACACAGATGCAGCTGCCTGGCAGTGCACACTTCCAGCCAGTTCTGGGAGCTGCATGTGGTGGCAAGGAGTGGAGCCAGGCTGGTCCGCCTCTATCGCGCAAGGCTCCCTATGATAGAGGCAGGCCACTCCATGTGCAGCTCCTGGGACTCGCATGCCACTGGGGGGAAGCCTCATGCAATGGAACCAGTGGCCTGTCCCCACTCCCTGCTGCCATGTGCAGCTCCTGGGACTCTGCTGGGAAGCAGGGAGTGGGGCTTCCCACCATCTCTGGCAGTGTCTCAAGAGCTGCATGTGGCAGCAGGGAGCGGGGCCAGGCCACCGGCTCTGTCATGCAAGGCTTCCCCCCCAGCGTGTGAGTCCTAGGAGCTGCACATGAACTGCAGGGAGCCCTGTGTGACAGAGACGGGCCAGCTGGGCTCCACTCCTTGTCACCACATGTAGCTCCTAGAACTAGCTGGAAGCATGTGCCACTGAGTGGCTGTCCATGTGTGGGCCAGGAGCACTGAGGCCCCACTGCCTGCTACTGCTGTTGCTGCCAGCGGCAGGGGCTGTGTGCCATTGGGGGAAAGGGCGTGTGGGGTCTCCCCACGCTGCCCCACCCTCCCTCACACCCTACAAACCCCACACACCCTCACCCTGCCCATCCGAGCGCCGTACTCCTGCCTGCTCACTGGGTATGGGCCCTAGACTCCATGCTCCTGCCATCCCCAACCCCATGCTCTGCACTCCCACCCAGATCCCAGATGTAGCTTTCCCCCACCCATCGCCACTTCCCTACCTGTTGCCTGGAGCGAGCGCTGCAAGAGAGACATGAGGAGGCATTGCTGGAGGCCAGGTTCTCCAGCAACTGCTGCAGTGACAGCAGCGGCCCTGCCGCTGTGCATGGTGGCCAGGGCTGTGGCCTGTCCATGCATGAGGGCGGGAGCGAAGCACGCTGGTTGGGTGGGGTACAATTAATTGGTGGGTGCCTGCAGGTCAGATGAAATTACTTGGCAGGCTGGATTTGGCCCACAGGCCATATTTTGCCTGGCCCTGAATTAGAGGGTTAGTGCATGTAGAGCTGTCAGGTGAGCTGTTTGAGTGTGCTGGTATCTGACATGCTGATTTTGCTCTGTAGACATGTACATAGGGAATTGATATTGGTGATGTAGAAGAGGAAGGGAACAACAGGAAACTAGGTCAGATGATTAGAGAAGGACATGTTTATTAAGGTAAATACCATAAGGACAAGATACAGGAATGGGAACTGCTGAAGGGACCCTAACCTGGGGTTTACATGGTCACATGAATACTCCAGGAAAACCAGAGTGCAGGAGGCTTCACTAGTCATGTAGGGAGATGATTAGGACATGACTGTGAAAGTCAGCCCTTGGTTGAAAGGTATGTTGACTGCTCAAGGAAATTTTTCCTGAAATATGAAATAAAATCCACCTGCTACTGACATAACAGCTGTCTTATGTATAGCCATCTTGTGGGAGCCCTCCCCTGCTTTACAATAATAATTTTTCCTCTACCTCAAACAGTCACTGAGGGACTCAAAAGTACTTCTGTTCAGACTCTGTACCTTTTGCCTTTCAAAGACCTCTGGCAAAAACAGGAATACATATTTGCTTCAAAACACAAATGGTTATCTCCACCTGAAGGTCCACAGGTTTCTTTGACATCAGCTCAGAACCTTCTGGGAAAGTTATACTTTATTTTTTTAGTCACATTAGTATACACCTATTCTTCCTCTCTTTGAGGGAAGCAGGAGGAAAGTTTTTGTTGCAAGGTTTGGATTTAAACTGAGTCTTTTTCCAGAATTCAAGGATCTGGGGTTTTAAGGTATATAAATCTGCCTCTCATAGGAATTAGCAAAAAAGATCAATTAAACACTGTCATGTCCAACAGGGAAGGCAGAGGCAGCAAAGCACTTTTGATCCCCTCAGCGGTTTGAGAGATTCTGGTGAAGAGTTTTCCTTTCTATCAGTGGCCAGTCTGAAAGTACAAAACAGCTCTTCATGAAAATCAACCCAATATGCGTATAATATGAATTTGTCTCTGTGAAAGTGAGTTGAGTTTGCAAGAAAAGCATTTTCTTATTTGTATTACATAAAACAAGAAATCAAGGAGATTTACATCTGGATTATGGGCTCTTGGAACAGTAAGCAACAATGTAAGCATTCCTCACTGAAGAGTGAAAGAGCAGCATGAAGCAATCCCATCTGTTATCATTTGCAGAAAGGTGTGAAGTGGTTTAGGAGAGTAAAGAAGTCATTAGCTACAACTTGGTTTCTATAAATTTCCTAGATTAGGCACATACTGAAGCATTAGTAGCCTCATTTTACACAGTGGCAGGAAGAGAAAGTAGGCCAAACTCAACTGTGGCAGGAACACTATATTTGCTTCAGTGAGTTCTGCCCTCTTACATCAGGGAAGAGATGAAGTAAATCATCCAAGAGCACATAGTGAGCAAATAGGAAACTGGGATTAGAACTCAGGAGCTCCTGCATTTTGGTTCCTTGCATATCTAGCAGGCCTGGATGAAGAGGCTAGTATTCGCTTTGGATTCGGCCGTTCCAGGGGACAGTGATTCAATTTGGTGATTCGAATCACTGTCCCGATTCGATTTGGCTGAATCTGATTTGGAGATTTGTCTGCTGGCGAATATCTGAATCAGCCAGGCCAGGTCCATCCCCCGCCCCCTCTCCCAGCCCAGCAATGGCTGCCTCGCCCACCCCAGCTCCTGGCACTTTGAAAAAAAAAGCCCTGACTCACTGGGTGCTGCCGGGAGGGGGAGAGTGAGGGAGGGCAACTGCCCCGTGCTGCTTGCGGGGCTCTGCATGAGTCTCCCGACCCCCCCACACTATCCCAGCCTCCTCATGGCTGCCCTGCCTGCTGTGGCTCTGGCTTTTTAAGAAAAACAAAAAATGAGAAAACTTATCATTCCTGCCAGCAGGACCGGGTGATCCCTGCTGCCTTCCACTGCATGGGGGGTCTTCCACAAGCCCCTGAAGCTGCTGTAGGAGTGGTGAGTCCCAGGGTTTTCTGTTTGTTTTTTTCTTAAAGGGTCAGAGCTGGGGTGGGTGGGGCAGCCACGGGGGGAACTGGGGGAGTAAGGGAGGTTGGGGGGCTCATGGCAGAGTCCCCCATGCAGCGTGGGGCAGTGGGGGGGAGTGGGGATCACTTCCCCCCCCGCTTGGCAGCACCCAGTGAGCCCAGGCTCCCCCCATGGCCCCTCCCCCTTCTCCCAGCCCCCCTCTCCTATCCCTACCCCTACGCCTACTTACCAGCTTGGAGTCTGGCTGCAGCTCCCTGCTGCAGTGGGTGGGGGACTGTCCGAATCATCAATCGATTTGATTCGGACCTTTTCATTGGTCCCCTGATTTGATTCGGATTCAGAGATTCGGTCACCAAATCAGGCCGGATCTCCTCTGAATCGAATCACCACCTAAAGCTTTGTACAGCCCTAATGTCTAGGTCTCTTGCATTCACCAGTGACTCACATCTGGAACTTGAAATCTGTTCCTATCCATGTGTCTGTCCTGAACTACACCATAATTGGGAAGACAAATATACATTATTGTTTTGTATGGGTGCATGAGGGATTTCCAAACTACTAATCAGTGTGCTTTTTTGGGGGGTAGTATCTTTCCACTCCTTTTTAGATTAAATACTTCTTGTTCTATTTTCAGTTCAACTTGTTTTTACTTGAACAAATAATTCAAGTGATGTAAGATATGTAATGAATGACACTTTCCCCCATATCTACATCTGGACTGCACAATCAAAGAGAAGAATGATGACCCAGTGGAACTGGTTAGAGTTGGGAGTGTTGGGAATCTGGGCACATTTTCTGCACTACCACAGATTTGTGATGTGGCACTGGGCAAGTCGCTTAATCTCTCTTTGCTTAACTCTCTCATCTGTTAAATGGGAGATAATACTTCCCTAGTGCAACATAGGAACTGTGAGGATAAATAGACTGTGGCATGCTCAAGATAAATTACATAAATAACAGTCGTCTTCTTAGAGATATTGTGAAATATTCTGATTTTCCTCAAATGTATTTGGTTAATCAACAGATAATTTCTATGTATAATTTGTGGTCTCTGGTTTGTTCAATAAATAATTAATATCAAGTATTCATTAAGTCAGTTTGAGCCATGTGGCTGACCACTTAACTCATAGGTTTTCCCTCTTCGGATCAAATCCAGACTTTATGTATATTGTACCTCTAGTTACTTATCCAGTTTAAATGGTTGTATACTGAGTTATATTCTGCAGCAATTCTGGTCTTGCTAAGTGTCTAACTTTTCCATATGATACAGGCTTCTATTACTTTTCTAGTGCTCACAGGAGAGAGGATGGTCTCCAAAAGAAAATCTTGACGGAGAAGGGGTATTTTATTTAGTCTAATGCCCTAACATATTTTCTGAAATATTTTAAGAGCAAGGTTCAGAAATATCATCATCTTCAGTGCCATCTAGTGGTTGTGTTTCAAAACAGCATAGGATTTTTTTACCGTCATGCTCTTAAATGGTTTTCATTCAAAATATACACCATGTTAATTTACAGGGTGATAGGTTTGTTAATCCTGGCTTTTGTATGTGAATGGATATTTTGTCTTGTCATTGTGTGTTGTAGGTAGTTCCCACTTCATTAGTGAAAGTAAAATGTCCCTGTGAGTGGGTGAATATTTGGAAATCACATATTTTATTGGTATATTAGGCTGCAATCCTTCAAACATTTATACTTAGGCTTAGTTTTATGCATATGCTGACTTCAAATTTGAGAAAGAAATTGTCAGTGGGTGCATATACACATGTACTTTACTGCAGAGTTGATTAATTAGCTCTGCAATAAAGCATCACCATCTACACATGTGCTGGAATTAGGGTGCAGTAAATTAACTAACACAGGCATAGGACTGTACAATCCAGGACAAGTCCTATCCTATGGCGGAGTAATTTATGCTGCCACAATGCACATGTGGATGGTGACTGGGGCTGGCTGGGGCACAAGGATGTTATAGTGTGGGGGCTGCCTGCCACCTAGCTTTGCACTGTAGCACCCTTATGTCCTAGCCACCCCCTCTGCTGCCCAGTGCTGCTACCCAGAGCACAGGGCTGACTTCCAAGGCTTCCTGCCAGCCCAAGGCTGCTCCACTTTGACTCAGTGTGCTGCAGGCCCGGGTGCATGTGTAAACGCTGTGCCCGAGAGAAATAAACTCTGGCATGGAGTACACTGGAGTTTATTTTTTGACCCTAACTGCACATGTAGATGCACCTGATATGTGCATAAGTAACTGCAAGAGTCAGACCCCAGCGTATCCACCAGTGAAGCCAGTGGGAGTTTTTCCATTCCCTCAGTAGGAGTCAATATGTTCAGTTTTGCATTCACTATGGTAAATATTTTCCCTTCATAACTTAGTACCATTTTAGGGTGATTTTTTTCAGGCAACCCAATCAGTACAGCATGCTTCTCAGTGTGGTCTCAAGCACCTAGTTTAATAAACTGGGGGATGCTAAAGACAGGTCTCTTGGGAGTAGAAGGGAGTGTGTCACTTGCTAGTGACTTTATCAGGTGCAGTAGAACTGTTCTTAGAGAGCCAGAACTATACTAAACAATCCTATACTGAATGTAGAATTGTTAAATATTTGTTTATGGAAAGGAGACACAAGAAGGATGGAAAAAATAGCAGAGATGGTGTCTCTTGGTGCTTCTCATGACATTCTATGAGCAGAAGAAATAACTGAAAATGAGGCCTTAAGCTTGTGGGATATTCTTTGCTGAAAGACTAATTGGAATATTTGCATGATACAGCGAGACCTACATAAATAATCAAAATGTTAATATATCTCTTTGTAGGCTTGTCGATATGGACATGTCCAGCATTTAGAACATTTACTTTTTTATGGAGCAGATATGGGAGCACAGAATGCCTCAGGAAATACAGCATTGCATATCTGTGCCCTTTATAACCAGGTCAGTTGTCATTCTTTTATATCTTTGATGTTTTGTACTTGCTTTAGGAGGATGTTTGCTTTGACCTTTCCTTGAAATGTACAAATCAGAACAAAATGCTAGAAATGTGCAATTTGGCGTAAGCTGGCTGCTCAGCTAGTTTGCCTTCAGCCAGCTGACTAGGGAGTTGAGGTAGGGCACCCATTATCCTGCCAAATCAGCTGACCAGTGACCCTGGGATGATGGCTAGCCATCCAGGGCTATCCAGGGAGCCTGAGGAATGAGTTACTAGGGTGGTGGTAGGAAGCTAGAGAGCTCTGTGAGCTAGACTGCTTGGCTCTCTACCAAGTGGGAAGCCAGTTAGACCAGGCTGCCAGGCAGACTGAAGGAAGGGCATGCTATGAAATCATGAGCATTTGGCAGTCTGGAACTCACAAACAGATGTCTGAGAGTTGTGACCCAGTTGCCCTTTCCACATTATTAAATAGGGAGCAGAGATCTTGGCCAGGAGTTATGCTTTCCCACTCTGCACCTTTACCCAATTTTAATAACAAAAAAAGAAATGTACAGAGCTAACCTCCCCTTTAGTATAATATGTTGGAAGTAAAGTTACACTTAGGAAGTTTTGTCTCTTCATATTTAATTTTGTCTTAACTCCCTTTTATTTACTCATTTGATGTCCCAATATCTAGAGGTCTTACTAATTAAAAAAATGATGATACCAATAAAGTACAATTGGCAAGTTGGCAAATTACAGATAAATCTGTCCGTTATATAATATTGAGGCTGTGTTTATCTCATAAAAAGATGATAAAACAATATACAACAATTACAGGATTCTCTACCATTTTTCAAACCAACATCCAAGTACTGGTGTTTCTTACTCAGAATTTCTCACTGTTTTCTTTGTACTTAATTTAGATCCTGTATCAACTTAATACTGATGAATATATTTCCCTGCCTACATCCAGTTGTTTTCTTATTTGTGGGTGTCAATTGAAAATCAAACCTGCTTTGTTGCAGTCAGTGGAACTCCAGTAAAACATAAGGCAAACAGGATTTTGTGCCTTTATTTTCACAGCCACTTGCTATAACATTTCAGCTTTATAGGTATTAAAACCAGGTCAGGACACTCTCCATTTATTGTTACACTGAATTAGAAAAACACAAGTTGTGAGGCTTGGTTGCAGCTAGTGGAACATCTGTTAAAGTATCTGTTTCTTAATTAATTTCCATTTCAATTGAAAAAGCCCTGTCAACGCAGATTTTTTCACTTTCTTTAGTGAATCTAAAATATCCTTGACTTTTGAAATAGATAATTTTTGGAATAACTTAACTTTTTCAAAGGTTGTATTGGCATGAAGTATGTGTCATAATTGATACTATTTATTAAGGACCTGATCTTGTAAACTCTGCCTGTTGGTGCAGATGGTTGAAGTACAAAACATGGCAATGAGAGCAATACAAATGTCTCAACAAATATCTAAACTGCTGGATATAGACTACTGTCTTTGATAGAACTTTAGCGAGTAGTATGCACCACGTATATGTCTACAGTAGAGTCTGAAGCTTGGGTAGAGATAGCCAAAACAGCTTTAAACTTCTAGCTCAGGTGTTGCTAGCAGTGCAGTTAGAGCAGTGTGAAGCTCAGTATAGGCTTCAAAACCCACCTAAGAGGCTGGATAAATTAGCTTGTGTTGGCTCTATACTCTTATGGCGACACATCTAGTAAGTACTAGAGTTAGTTTTTTTAAAGGTTGCTTAAATATTTCCAGGCTTCATCTAAAATAATGTGTCTAGTTTTGGGCCCCTCACTTCAAGAAAGTTATGGACAAAGTAGATAGAGTCAAGTGGAGAGGAGCAAAAATGATTAGGGGCCTGGGAAACATGACTTAAAATGACAGACTGAAAGAACTAGGATATTTAGTCTGGAGAAGAGAAGGCTGAGGTGAGATTTGATAACAGCCTTCATATACCTGAAGGTATACATATAAAGATAGCTTATTCTCTGTGGCTGCAGGTACAACACAAGGAACAGGTACTGCACAAATTCCCTGGATTGTAGTGGATGAAATTTAGGTTAGAAAGAACTTTCTCACCATGATGGTTGTTAGGCATTGGAACAGCCTATGAAGAGAGGTTGTGAAAACTCCATCCTTGGAAGTTTTTAAGAGCAAGTTAAACAGAATGGTTTAGTTATGGACAATTCTCCCTTGAGCAGGGGGGCTGGCTAGGTGACCTCCTGAGGCCCCATTCTGTGATTCTGTGATCTCTGTGCACACTTCACTGCAGTTGCTTCTGTAATTGCAATAGAGACATACCGAGAAGTGGAACTCAGCAGGTGCAACTTTGTGGTTGTTCCCTGCAGAGGAATGAGTTCATCCTAAACTCAGTAAAAATCTTTGCACACAGACCCTTAAGCCTAGTATTGACTGTAAGTCTGTATTTAAGTTCGTTGAAGTTCATCAAACACTTGAATATTTGCTTCAATCCAGTTGACATCAATGGTCATGCTTACTTAATGGAAAGTTTGAAACCTGAACCATGAACTTCAGAGTTTGGACCAGTATTCCCTACTTCCCTTAATGCTGTTGTAGGTGTCTATCATATCGTAACTGCTGTTAAACCATGCCACTAACTAATGCGATAGTTGGCTTATGACAGTATTTTTATTACAATTTTTTATTACTATAGATGCCTGAAATATACTATTTTGTAAGGAAAGGATGTATGTAGTGCAAACACTAGGATGCTCCTTTGGGTTAAAAAACAGTCTTTCTTCCTGAGAAGTTTTGTTTTCCTAACCTTAGTGGAGAGGTCTATTGTTCTTCATTTACAGCAGCTTGCAAGTCTATATTGCATCTTAGAAATGTTGTACATAGTAGCTTTAATGCATGAATTCCTTATTCTGCTCTCTTTTACTGGAACTTTTACATCCAGTAGCTATATCTGTGTTTCCCAGACTCATCAGGGACATATGAAGATGAACAGTGTTTTAGTGACCTCTGCCGACCCTTTTCCTTGTTTCTTATGCTGAAGGATGTTTTTAGGTGATGGGGAAGATAGGTTGTTGACCTTTAATGAGGGGGAAGGATAGGAAAGGTTGTAGTCCCTTTTTTACCACCTAAATCCTGTAGGTGGAGTCATTATCCATTTAATTTTTTTTTTTTACTAATCCAGGTAATTGCAGTAATTGCCTTTCATGGATGTTACTTGAGTATAGATCTCAGTGGGGTTTTTTTGGGTTTTTTAAAGTCTCTTCATGGTCTATAAATCCCTCAATGAAATTATAACATGACAGAAATTCAGGAATTATTATTCTATACTTTTTAAATAATTATGCAACTTTGAACTGCACATTCCTTATAAATACGCCCTATTATAGTGTATTGTACATAACCTATTTTTCACTTATTGTTCTACTGTTAAATGAACTAATTGGGTATTTGATTGTGGGCAACAAATTGAATCTAATCTGTTGACAACCCACATATCTTTGTACGATTCACTTAAACCCCTGAAGGCTAAGAAGCTACCACATCTTTAGTTTATGTACCATATAATGAATGAACTGTACTAAGCTCTAAATATCAAAGGTTATTAGACTGCCAATGCTGTACTTTGTCAGTGAAAGAATTCTAGCAGTGGTAGGAAGCAACTTTAAAGTGAAAGTATCTCAAAAATATATAATGTAAACTATATATAATATAAACTATTCTGAAATGAAAACTGAGCTGAAGATTGTTTTTCATGAGAAAATATCCAACCTCCCCTCAAAGTCTTATTTTTTCCCTTTTTTCCTCTCTCCATTCTCTCCTTTTTTATTCCCCATGATAATGAAAAGGGGAAAACTGTTTTCTGTGTTAAAAATGTGGGGAAGGATACATGAAAAAAACATTTCAAGCAAAAAAGTTTCTTAGAAATCTTTAATTTAGGAAAACATGCCATTTTTACCAAAGTTTTTTGGTGCAATAGGAATGCAGTTTTGCTGTGTTAGGTTCTGTGCGGGAAACATAATGGTCATATTCCCATTTAAAAAAAAATCATATACAAACTTTTAAAATATATGCAATAACCATTATAGCTTGCAAACTAATACTTAGTTTATCAATACAGTAAGTTTCTGAGTATCAACAATTTCATAGACAGATTCTGGACCAATTCAAGCAACTTTAAATTTTAGTGCCCAAGTGTTTCCACCCCTTGTAGTCTTCGGTCAGATATACGTATTCTACTTTTACTAGTATAAGTGATCAGAAACTGGTCTATACCCATAACAGAATAAAAGTTCAGCACACAAAGCCAGGTTTTACCCATAACAGAAGTTTGTCACACATTGACTAGTTTAAAAATGGTGGAAACCGGTCTAAGATTTGCCCCCTCTGCCAAAAGGCAAGTGTTCAGTTCATCACTAATCTAAACTATGCCACTAGCAGAAAACTGTGTAAAGTAGACCAATTGTGCCTCTGCCTTTTTGAATGTCTGTACCTCGCCTTAATAAAGCTATAAAATACGTGGGATCATAATGATTTTTCAAAGTTTTTGTTTCCCATACTAATAATCAGCTAAGAAAAAAGTTTGCACTGTAGTCTACAGCAAGACATAAAGTTTTAAGGTTTCCTTGCTTGTTCCAGTTTAGTACTGTAAAGAGCACTCCTGAGTGGTTTGTGCAGTTTTTAGCGTAGGCTGAAGAGACCGTATAAATAATTTGTAGAGTATTGTGAAAATTTAAAACATATTAAACTACTGCCTTGTGACAGTTGCTAGAATCCTGCAAGAGATGCAGAGCTATCTCGTTGATTTGCCATGTCATGCAGAACAGGGAGTAGAAGAGTAAAAGTGGCTTTATGCCATCCTCCTGGAATTTGACTTCAGGGAGGGAGTATTGTAATAGGGCCCCTTCAATCCCTAGTACAGAGAAGAAGGGACAGGCATTTTAAAGAAAACCAAACCGGCTGTAGCCCATGCCCATGACAGCAGTGCAAAAGAAGGACCACAGCAATAAGGGAGGCGCTGGGGAG